GAATCACTTGAAAAAAACACGGGGTGCTTAACTTTTTTCCAGGTGTATATATACTTCTACTCAGTTATCATATTCTCAATGTTTCTTCACATTTTATAGCGCCCTCCAGTGGATCAGTGGTAAGTCTGAAGGTTTATAACGCTAAAAATTTGGGTTTATATAGCCGCGGTTGGCATAGCACAGATAGCCCATTGTGTAGCTTTGTCCTAAATAACAAAAGAAACAAAGTATATATAAGGTTATGTAACTTGGTTATTAAACATTAGTTTTTATTCAGATACCTTGGAAATAATTTTGTGCCACGTAGAATCAAAGTAAACAGTAGTTTTACAGCCAAAGGAAAGGAAGAAACAAAACTACTGTGGTCTTTTATTTATTATATTTTGCATAAAATGTTCATGTTTATTAAGTTTTATTCAGAATTAGAAATGACAGATATTTTATTTTATCCTGAACACCTCCAGAACAGGTCTGTAACATTTTGTTCACGAGCTTTACCTAGTTTTGATTCTAGAGCCACATAAAGTTTCCAGAAAATGTCGAAGTCTTCAGTACCCTCAGTTCTTTGGTTACAGTGTCTTACATACTTGTGTGAGTTATCTAAACTAAAAGTAACGGTGTCCTAGGTACTTGTGTAAGTTATCTAAACTAAAAGTAATAGTGTCCTAAGTACCTGTGTAAGTTATATAAACCTAAAGTAACCGTGTCCTAGGTAACTGTGTAAGTTATCTAAACCAAAAGTAATAGTGTCCTAAGTACCTGTGTAAGTTATATAAACCAAAAGTAATAGTGTCCTAGGTAATTATGTAAGTTATATAAACCAAAAGAAATAGTGTCCTAGGTAATTATGTAAGTTATATAAACCAAAAGTGATAGTGTCCAATGTAATTGTGTAAGTTATCTAAACTAAAAGTAACAGTGTCCTAGGTACTTGTGTAAGTTATCTAAACCTAAAGTAATAGTGTCCTAGGTAATTATATAAGTTATATAAACCGAAAGTAGTAGTGTCCAAAGTAATTGTGTAACTTATCTAAACCAAAAGTAATAGTGTCCCAGGTAATTGTGTAACTTATCTAAACCAAAAGTAATAGTGTCCTAGGTAATTGTTTAAGTTATCTTTACACCAAGTTACACTAAACAAACTCTGTTGTAATGAAGTGGTTTTTGTCTAGGACTAAGCCATTATTTTTGGCGTTTAATACTCGCATAGAGAATCTATTTTTCATCACCGGTGATAATTCTATCCAAAAATAGTTCACGCGCATTACGCGCCAGAAGAGACGAAGCAACGTTCACACTTTGAAAACGATTATCATCGGAGAGTTCGTGAG